ATGTTGGAGGCAGAAAGAAGAATGTTTGCAAAGGTCCTGAGGTGACAGAAGTTACTGTGGTTATGTGTGTAATGGGAACCACGTGACTGGAGTTTCTGTATTTACATTATTTTTTGTTAGTGTATTTATGACATGAACAGGAGAGCAAAAGGAGCAAAGATGAAAAGGGGGGCAGAGGTCACATCCCACAGCGCCTTGTGATGTTAGGTGTTCAGGTTTGCTTGGATTTCATTTTAAGGTATTTCTTGGTAATGCAGCCATTTGTCCTTGCACATGTAAATTATCAATTAATTTTCTGCATCCTTATGACATTTCATATAAACACTAAAACACAAGTTTGTGCCACTTCTTTACCATATCCAAGTGTATCACACTTTATATGAACACAAAGACACAAATTCATGCCATTTCTAGGCTATTCTCATAATGTCTGCATGGGAATTGGACTGTGGGAGAAAGAAACATTTCTTATTAACAGGACACAAGAAAAGCGGAGAGAACATGTGCTGTGTCAGAGACTTGGAAAATTTCAAAGGCAGTTCAGAGAGTGAGAGGAAGGGGCAGGGAGGCTATGAGAGAGAAGACTCGGATGGAACATGGGCTTCAGAGCACCTTGTGATGAGAAGCAGCAGAGGTGCTGTTCTCCCCCCCACGTGTAGAGAATTATTACGTGGAAGAACTTTTAAGATTGTTTGTCTAGTTCCAGAGTCCAGAATCAGATGGGCTTATATGAATTGCAAGGAAGAGGACTTCTCAAGATATGGCCGTTTTGTAAACACAAAGTGCCAAAGGAAATCGGAGCCGAGACGGGTTCTCCAGCTTTGGGTGTGTCTGTGTAGGAGCTCTATTATAATTTATTCTGCATTTTATGGGGAAATTAAAACACACAGGCTCAGATATATTTATCATCATCTCAACTCTTTTTGTGACTCTAAGATTTAGGAAGTGTTGATTCTATGATTTAAACAATGCCCATGAGGCATACAGTCAAAGTTGGATGTTCTTAGGAGCCATAGGAAAGGTGAAAAGAAACAACTTTTTATAGTGTGGAAGGTAGCCAGAGAGAGGAGGATAGTTTTAATATCTCTTCCTCTAGGAGACAGACAAGAACGGATGATTGGTGAGAGCTAGTAATAATTATACTAACAAAGTAAGAAGGATCTTCAGACTTTTCTGAAATATCCACAGAAGCTTAAACTAAAAGAGAAGGCAGAAGATAAATATTCTATTTTAACCAAAAACATAATTAGAATTTCATGGGGAACATAATAGGGAGGAATTGGGGGAAAAATGTGCATGGAGTGATGTAAGTTTATATTTGGTATGTTTCATTAGGAAATATGAGATATTTAGATTATATTGGAACTTTTAATAAATAGATATTTTCACAATGAATATTTGAGTTGGAATATAACCCTTCTGCGCCTTAGCCTAAGCCTTTGTTAAAGTGATGTAATCTTCTAGTTTCCAAAAATGAGTTGAAATCTCAAATCTACCTTAAAAAAATATTTGCAGGGTTTGAGGCTGGGGCTCAGTGGTAGAGTGCTCCCCTAGCATGGGTGAGACACTGGGTTTGAGCCTCAGCACCACATAAAAACAAATAAATAAGAATAAAGGCATTGTATCCACCTACCACTAAAAATAATTTTAAAATTTTGCAGAATAAAAGGCATTTCATTGGTATAGATAAAACCATCTAGCTAACTGGGATTTTGGAGAAACCCTATGTTGATTCAGACTGAATTATCTCTGAAGTAGAAATAAGGTAAATGTGTTCATATATATTTACAGGGGGATTCTGATAGAACATCCAGAGTTTGGTCTCATGAACTTGAAGTGGGTCCTTCGTAATTCCATTTAAGTCATCTCTACTGAAATGTTTAAATATAAATTGGTCTTCAGAGGCTGGTTTTACATAGCAATCCAGTGACTATCTGAATCAGCAGAAATTGATTTTCTCCTCATGGTTCCCCAGTGAGGTGTTGGTACAATTTCAGTGGGTTTTATTGATTATGGAGTTTTGAAATTGTCTATGAAGCAAACCCTGTGGCATATTGCTTGATTTTATATTTAAAAAAATATTTATTGTATAAAATTCTTCAGTACAGTACAGTGAGGTCCATCACTTTGTAGTCTGTGTTTTGAAGGTTTGTCCACTTTAGAAAATTAATTATGGCAAATATTGAGAAGTAGATCTTATCAATAATGTATAAACATATACAAAATGTATTTGCATTATTCTGGGGGTATGTATATATACATCATTCATAAATCATAACAACAATAAAGTAAACATTGCTATTTTAGAACACATATGTCGGTATAAAAATTTGTCATTTTGTTGAATCCTTTGATTAGAATGCAGGAAAGCGAATAAAGATTAAAATATATTGTGTTTGTTATGAGTGAGCATCTATAACTTTGCCCTTTATATTTACTACATATTTTAATAGGTCTCTTGCAAAATTTGTATACATATACTTAAATTTCTTCCCATTCAGCAATTACAAAAATTGAGGTTCTTCCAGGTTGAAGACATTTTCCAAGGTCATATGATTAGTGAATGTTTCTGCCAGGAAAGTGCTCACTCTCTTTTCCAGGGGATGCTCTTCTTACTACTGAGTCTAAGGAACATAGAAGTGGTACTTTAGTAGAGGATGCATATGGACCTTGAAGGAGGCACTGGTTCTTCTGGTTTTTTGGCTGATGCACAGGATGTGAGCAGAGTGGGTGTGAGGACATATGGTGAAGCCTACCTTTGCCTGGGGTCACAATGTGCTAGATGCTAAAAGACATCATCCTGTCAGTAATCTTTATTTAGACACCAAACACAGGAACTGGCACCTTGAATACTTCTCATGCCTTAGTGTCTGTAGTTTTGCCTGCTTCCTAACAGACGTCCCTGAAGTCTGTCCTTCTTTCCCTCCCCAGGATCTCTCTGTGGTGCAGTCTTCTGTAAATCCACATATCCACACCACTGGCTAATGATCTCTTGTTCACGATCCACATTCCAGAGGGTTGGTCATATTTGTCAAGTGACTAGAGTGGAAAGTCTGTGTGTTTCTGGTTAGCTTATTCATTTTACCCTCAGCTTGATCAAGTTTTGATTGATATAAAATGCTTGAAACATGCAATGCCTGTGGTTTCATTAATATGGAAAAATGCGTACACCTATGAGTTCATCATCACAACCAAGGTAAAAAACACATTTATCATCTCCAAAACTTTCCTTATGTTCTGTTTTTTTTTCTTCTAGTGATAGTAATACTTGACCTGATAGAACCATTCACCAGTTTTTAAGTGCACACTACAGTATTTTTGACTGCAGCACAGTAATTTATCTGTCTACTCATTCATTGGGTACAATATTCCTTCTAATTTTTTCCTTCCTTGAGCATTATCTCATAGACTGAAGTTCATACAGAGTCTCCTCATATATTATCATTGCTTTTTATCATAGTCTAGTTGTTTCTGATATGAAACTTTTCCCAACTGAACTGCTGTGTGGCTTATATATCCTGGTTAAACACAGAAATGTTTAGGTTTAGGAAGAATTTGTGTGTATCTGGTGGAGGTCAGATGCATCTTTTAAATCTTATTAGTGTGTAAGATAAGAAGTTAAGATTTAGGTTAAAATATCTATAGGAAGCCCAAGATTTAGGAAAAATCATGAAAAAGTTGTGAACAGAAGAATGGCCATGGACTAGCGTCCATTTATCATAGAAACTAAGGAAGAAGGTGATGTGAAGCGCAAAGAAATTGCTTTGAAGGTCAGTTTTACTGTAGGCATAATTGAAACGATCAAAGAAAGTAGTACAAGTATATATATTTACTAAAATTATACTTTGGAGAAGAGAGGTGAGACTAAAATGAAGAAAATATGTGGAATTATTTAATCAAGAAAATTGGTACGATCATCACCTCACATAAACATCCTGTGTTTCTGCTGCAAGTACGTCAATCATTCTTTTAAAAGTGTTCAAAAGTGTGCATTGTTTCTTCAAGTCACCATTCTGTGTTATTGCACACTAAAAATTGTCCCTCCAGTCTAATGCGAATGTGGTAGCTTTGACTACAATACCTCCTTTTCTCATCTATTCCACCTGTTGAAGTATTCACTGGTGGTTAACTCTGTTGAGTGGGCAGCATTGATGGAGAGCACCAACATGACTGTAGTCTGAGTAAACACACGCAGTCTTGTTTTTAAGAGGTGGAACAATTGGACTGCAGCAAGAAAGAAAGTACTGGATCAACACATTTTCATACTTCAAAATGGAAATTCTTCCTATTTATTTTCAGTTATAAATCATATGGGCTTATCACGATTTTAAGAAAAAATTCTATCATCGGGAAAGAAAGAGAAATTCATTCCTTTCCAGGAAATAAAATGGGAGGAAATATTCCCTTCAGAGAGAAGATAATGTTTTAGGAGGGAACATATTATGGTTAGCATGTTGAAATATTCATTACATTGTCCAAAATTCATGAAAAGTAACTATTGTGATTTATGTTTAAAAAACAAGTTATTAGAAAAGGTAGGAAAGATAGACCCTGATCATGTTGCTCGTGATGATAATTTCATGACAAGATCCTGGTTTTTAATTGGGAGTTTTCGTAATCTTGAAGAACAGAGTGACAAACACATATTTATAAGTCAGATATGTGTTTGTGGATATGTTCTGTCATGATATGGTTATGAAAGGAAATTGTATAAGGTTAAATAATAGTGCTATGAAACTGTGTGTTTAGAAAATAGACTTGTTTATTGAAGGGTTGTGAAAATTCCTAGGGAAGCGTTAAGGAAATCCTGAACTTCTAATAACATGATTGTACACAGATGGAGCTCAATTCAGGCACATGTTTGTTAAATGAGAGAACAGAGCCATGTGAGCTATGACACATCCAACCTGTAAGTATATAAAGATCCTGGAGGACTGGGTGACATTCACACCTTAGAAACATCCTTCAACGTTTCCACTGAAACCTCACCTCCTGACACCATGTGCAGCAACTACTACGGGAACTCCTGTGGAGGATGCGGCTGCGGCTCAGGCTGTGGCTATGGCTCAGGCTGTGGATATGGCTCTGGCTGTGGATATGGCTCTGGCTCTGGATATGGCTCTAGCTGTGGATATGGCCTGAGCTGTAGATACAAATCTGGCTGTGGCTATGGCTTAGGCTGTGGACATGGCTCTGGCTGTGGATACAGATCTGGCTGTGGCTGTGGCTCTGGCTGTGGATATGGCTCAGGATGTGGACACGTCTCTGGCTGTGGATATGGCTCTGGCTGTGGATACGGCTCCAACTGTGGATACAGATCTGGCTATGGCTGTGACTCTGGCTGTGGATATGGATCAGGCTGTGGATACGGCTCCAACTGTGGATACAGCTCTGGCTATAGCTGCGGCTCTGGCTGTGGATACGGCTCTGGCTGTGGTTATGGCTCTGGCTGTGGATATGGCTCCCGTTATGGCTGTGGTTACCACTCTGGCTGCTGCAGCTACAGAAGATGTTCTTCTTCGTGCTGCTGATCACTTCAACAAGTCATACTTTTCTCTTTAAGGTACTATTCTACCAGCAAGTTCAATTGAAATCCTCCCATCCATTCACTTCAAACTGAAGAAAAGATGAAGTTCTGCTGGGCACCTGACTTGACATCACAACACCTGTTAGCAGTTGAAGTAGACTAAGAAGTTCCATCACGTCTCTGAAAACAGATATTATTTTGTTGAATACTTCAATGTAAACTCTCAAACTTTCTTCTTGTATTTGTGCTGTAGCTACCAGCAGAAGTATAATTGGTTTATACTGAAGTGGAACAAAATAGCTGTTTCTTAATAAAAGAATATATTTACTAAAAAGAATTGTTTCCCTTCTGTAAGTGTCACTGTTAATGGTTGGAATTTTGGTCTCCTCTAAAGTTTGTACAACTCAACTTAGGACTAATACAATGAGTTTTATTGGTTTGATCCAAATATTATCTTATTTCTATATTCTTAATTTATACAATGTTGATTTATTACCTTTATATCTTCAACACAGAAACAAATATCACACTATAAATTTCATGTCTCTCAAGAATAAGGATCAGAATGAGGAGCTCAATGAGAAAGGAAACTTAGTCTGAAGTAATGGCTTAGTGTAGAACTGGTTGATTTAATTCTGACTTAAGAAAATGGTAATAAAGTTGTAAGAACATTAATTTGTTTAATTTTAGTATATTTATTTAATTAAGCTAAATTATTAGTCTTATTTTCCTCCAAAGTTTCCCATGCTTAAAGCTGTGACCCAAGTTGGCACTATTGGCGGGGCAGACTAGGAAGTGGGGTGGAGTGGAGGTCATGTTCATTGTTTTTGTTTCTACTACCAAATTGCCTGTCCAGGACACCTTAGAGGGAAAAACGTTTGTTTTGTGTTCACGGTTTCAGACATTCGGCCCATGGTCCTCTGGCCCAATTTCTCTTGCCCGACAGGAGGCAGAGCATCATGGCAGAAGGACATGACAGAGGAGAGCTGCTCACCTAATGGTAGCCAGGAATCAGAGTGGGGGGAAGGAACCAGGGAACAAGCTGTAACCCCCAAGGAATGCCCCAGTCACACACTTTCTCAGGCCATGTCCCATCTAACTATAGACACCCCTCAGTAGAGAAGTCCTTTCAAATTATTAATGCATCAAGTGGATTAATCCACTGATTAGGCAACAGCTCTGATAATTTAGTCATGAGCTTTTGGGGTTTATGTCATATCCAAACCATACAGGGGTCCTTGGGTCATAGTGGGGTACCCTTGACGTGAACAGTGGCTTCCCAGGCACTTCCTCGTCCTCTTTCTCTGTGCTCTGTTCATGACAAGAGTGGTGTGACTGCACCCTGTGCTCTACTATGATGAGCTGTCTCCTCAGAGGCCCCAAACAGAGTGCAACAATCATGGATTGGACTTCCAAAACCTGGGAGCCAAATAAACCTATTCTCTTAACAAATTATCTCATCCATTTCAATATAGTAACACACATCTGACTAACACAGACTTACTATTCACTTTACTTGGTGTTCTATTTCTATATTTCTCTGACCTTTTCAGGGACTGGGAGGGTTAATATGCAGCTGCTTTACCAACTGTGTGTGTCTGGCATCCATTTTGATCTATCAGTGTCCATGACACTCTTAATGTCTCAAATCTTGAATACTGACCCTGAAGAAGTAGTCCCTCACAGGCTGAGTCTTGGTTCTCCAATTTGTTTCACTCATAGGTTTGTTCTTAAGCATTTGAGCCTCATGACTTGGGTTTATCCATTTCTTTCTTTCACTATCAATCAGTGCTCTTCATTCATCATATGTGCACACACGTGTACACACACAGGATGTTACCAGAAAGTCTGCTTCAGGAAACTGCTAACCATGCAAAAGTAGGTTGGCAGGGGAGTGACAGAAGCTCAAAAAATACATCTGTAAAAACTTGCAGACAGGTTAAATTTGGGCTTGCATTTGGGTGTTGAAATAGATAAAGGAACAGAGGAACATCAGGAACTTTGAAGACCTTGAAGGCAGGACCCAGAAGACCTTGGAAAACAGTGTTGGAGAAGTTAGAAAACCCAAAGAAGATCATATCTTCAGCAACATGTATTTCCTTTTAGCACTTAGAATTGTAGAAAATTGAGGGTGGTATGTTTAGTTTCAAATCTGAAAGAGATATTGGAATACTAGTAAGATTAGTATTACGGATATACTCTGTGTCATTGTGGACAATAATTAGGTTGAAGCAAATGGATGATCATGACACATAAATTCCTCACAACAAGAGCTCTTTCTAACATATGACACCATCTGAAAGAAGATTGACTTCCTCATCAGGTGCTTTATCACTAGCTGTGTTTAAACCCAGGTGGACTCACTCCTTCTGAGGGTTATTTGAGGGTGAAATTGCAAAATGAGAAAGAGGGATTTAAGAAATGGATATCCCACATATCAATTTCTTTCCTTCCTTCTATTCTAAGAAAGTAGAAAATATTTCCATATTAGACTGTAGAAACCGTGTTCATTTGGGATTTACAGAAAGATTGTCAGACATGGTAGTCTGTTGAATGGAAAAGAATTACAGTTGGCTTCCTCTTCTGTTCTCTAAACTACCTGGTAAAGGTTTGGCTGCTGTGGATGACCAGAACAACATTTTTCTCGTGTCAACAGATATTAGGGAATCTGTCATACCAGCAGGTTTCAGCCATAGAGCATTTTGGAGTGACAGTCATAATTTTGAAACTGCATCTGCCATACTTGTTGGAATAGCTTGGGAACAAAACTGTGAAATAAATTGTATGTAGGATTCTCTGTGGCTTTTGGAATAATGAGAACTTAACATGAGTGGGGATTTTATAATGATCACACTGTGAAATGTGTTACCACATAAAATGTAAAATTCCATTCACAGCAAGTGTTAAAGTATTCATTGATCAGAAATGAAGCTTTTTTTTTTTTTAATGCATCCTAACAAGGAAGACCACATTCTTGAACTTGGTAGTATATTAGCCCTGTGGATTCAGTTAAGTTTGCTAACCATTTTGTATTAGCATTTCTGTTTTATAAGCTACTTGCCTATTTCACAATTTCATTGTTATCAAATAGACAAAAGGGCTGAAGGAATTTATAAACACTTGACAGCTTTGTTTGGCAAAGGATATTCATTTTTATTCCACTTTGTCCAAATGCCTTGATAAAAATTATTGAGGAATGACTCGAAGTATGAAAGAACATTAGAAGAATCTCATATTCACAAGTATATTCATAAAAATATGAAATATTGAGTTTATGGATAGGGCAGAGTAATGTGCAAATAAAATAACCTTCAGTGATTATCCAGTAATTAGTGAATTATTCGAAGCAATCAGTCAAGTTCATTCTAAATGATGCATTTCCAAACATACACTTCTTGGTCCTCCACGGAGCTTTGCTAATACGTCTTTGGAATCACATATTCACAAAACTGACTAATGGACAATAAGTTTCTTTTTCACAAAACTGACTAATGGACAATAAGTTTCTTTATAGATTTGTAATTGGATTTTGACGATGATTGGACACATTCACACAGCTAGGGCATTGCTATTGCTTGTTTCCTCCTCTTCTGTGAAGTGCTAGGAATATACTGGGATGCTGCAAGTTCAGGGGTAGAGACTCTACTGCTGAAAGCGAGCCAAGAGAAAGTACCTGGCTCCAAATACAAAATCACTGTGTTCAAGTTTCAATGATACTTTAATACAAAGAAGAGAAGAGACAAGAATGCCAAACTAACTACCAGACTTCAAGTAGGTACAGCTGGCTGGGGCCCTCAGGTAGCGTGTTGAAATATTCACTTCTTTGTCTAAAAATTCATAAAAAAGTAACATAATAATTTATTTTCAAACAGGAAAGTATTAGGAGAGAAAGAACGTAAGGTGCTGTTGCTGCTGCTGCTGCTCCTACTGGTGATGATTATATTAATTGCTATATCTTATTATTTAGTTGAGAATTTCCATGATCTTGAAAGCACAGAAAGATAAGCAAACACATTTAGGTGAAACATTCTGGGGTTATATCCTATTATGTTATGATTATGAAATAAAATGTAGGAAGATAAAAAATTATAATGTTATTACTTTGTGTTTTAGAATGTGTACCTTCATTTCTTTAAGGGTTCTGAAAATTCTTAGGGCAGCAGGAAGTAAATCAGAAATTCCTAGCAAAATGAGTGTGCATGGAATGGTCTCGTTTTCAGGCACATGTTTGTAAAATGAGAGAACAGAGCCCATGCGAGCTATGACACACCCTACCCTGTAAGTATATAAAGGTCCTGAAGGACTGGGTGACATTCAACTTTAGAAATATCCTCCAACCCTTCAACTGAAACCTCACCTCCTGACACCATGTGCAGCAACTACTACGGGAACTCCTGGGATACAGCTCATTTGGTTGAGTGCTTACCTTGCATGTGCAAGGCCCTGTGTTAGATTCCCAGCAATAATAATAATAATAATAATAATAATAATAATAATAATGTTTTAAATAGTTTATATTAAAATATTATCTAATTTACATATTTCCAAATTTATATAATATCCATTCATTACCCTTATATCTCAACACAAACACACAAATATCACACTCCAAATTTCTTGTCTTACATGAATAAAGGTTCAGAATAAGGAAACCTAGGATGAATTCACGGATTATTATAGAAGTGATTTATTTATTTCTGGTTTTAAATCATGGTAATAAAGTTGGTATTATATTAATGCATTTAATTTTAGTATTAATTAATTAAAGATAGGGTCTTATCATGTTGCCTAGGATGATCTCAAACTCCTGGGCTCCAGTGATCCTCCTGCCTCCCCTTCCCCCATAACTGGGGGTACAGGACTACTACTGGACTGCCTCCCTGTCTAGTTGCAAATAGGTGAATTTGAAGCTAAAAAAAGGTGTAAAAATGTGTGAAACAACAATTCTAGAGTGTTTAGGTGAGACTACAAAAACTGTTCAGTGAAAAGAAAAAGGAGTAGAATCCACTGTTCTTCCTGGTCCCCAATGTTCCTGTGATTTTTTATACTCTTGGTGGTCAAAGTGGTTGCTGAGTCCAACCAACATCATGCTCATGTTCCTGGCATTAAACAAACAAACAAACAAACAAA